TCCAAAGAAATTATACATTCAATCTGTTGAGAAAACCCTTCGGCAAAAAAACAAGTTACGAAATAACATGGGACAGACTGGCGTTTACTACACGTCAGTGTGCCTGACTGCCAAGGGCAGAGGAGACGAGGGCGGAGGCGGTGGAAGGGAAGACCAGGGGCCAGCCACATCACCCAAGTCCAACCGGGAGTTAGGAAGACATTTCCTAGGGCTGGCAGGTGGCAGGGCAGCTAAGGCACTGGACTCCCATGTGGTCAACTGCACTTTGAGTTCCAGACCTGGCGGCTTGCTTTCTCACTTTCCCTTTCTTTCTCTCTCCCTGATCAAATTAAAAATATTAATAATCAATACAATTAAATAAATAATGCTTTAAAAAAAGAAAAAGGAAGGGACCAGCAGGTGGTATAGTGATTAAGGTGCTAGATTCCCACGTTAGTGGACCATAGTTCAAGTCCTGAACCTGGCAGCTGGAAATTCGTGCCAGGCACGTGTGTGTGCGCCCAAAATCCTGAGAGGAGAATGGAGGAGAAGGGACTGTGGTGTGGCCATCCCTCCCGGGGGTGATTTCTTGCTGTCTGTCTCTGGTAAGCACACAATCCCCATAGCAAAAGAAATAGACAGCATTTCTTTAAGTACAGCAAGAAGTTACGTGCTGGCCAGATGGTCTATTCCCTTCCCCTATACCAGGCTCAAAGTTCATTAACCTAATTTTTAAAAAAGAAATACTTGAGGGGCAGCAGGTAGTATGGTGGCTAAGGCTCTGGATTCTACATGGCTGACTGATTGGTTCGAGTCTTGAACCTGGTGGCTTGAAAAATATGCCTGGCATGTGTGCATGCCTGCTCAAAATCCTGAAAAAGAGAATGGAGGAGAAAGAACTGTGGTACAACCTTTCTCCTGTGGGGTGCTTTCTCACTTTCCCTCTCTGTCTCTCCCCAGCAAGAGAACATGCCCTGTAGTGAAAAACTAAAAAGAAAAAAAAATTTTTTAAATGTATTTTGTTCAGAGACTCATTAAAAACTTACAGAAAGCTTATACCGCAAAGAAGAACCTTGCTAAATGCCAGTCTGACTCGATTACCAGCATCTCGTGCAATACTTTGTGATCTGGCTCCTGCTGCATGCTCAGCCACTGAGGCGTGTGTCCACCATGGATCACATAGGCCCCCCCACTGAAGCCACGGTCGACTTCCCCCATGACTCTCCTCCAGGCCCCTAGGTCTTGACACGTGCTGTTCCCTGCGTTTGGAATGACTTTTCTATCCATTTCTGCCTTTTAAGTACCTACTCATCCTTCAAGATTCAGGTCAAATAGCACCCCTCCCCCCCAACACACACACACACGGAAGCCAGACTTAAATAATAGGAGTTAAACTTCACAAATGAAAATGTGATTACAAAAAAAAAACCACAAGAGCTCACAACCGTGGAATAATAAGCTACAAGCCGGGAGACTTCTGCTTTCAAGACAAGTAAAATAATAACAATAATAACAGCAGTTGCCAGACACTTTAAATATTTAATCACTGATTCTTACGACAACCCTGCAAATTAGGTTGACAGTTAAGTAATTTGCCCGAGTTCACACCACTAATGATGGGTAGGACAGAAATTTAAATCCAGATCCATCCTACTCCAAAGCATTGAACAAGAAACAGAGGAGAATGATTTAAAATCTAACCACACCGTATCATTTTCTAATCCATTACCAAATATCTAAAACCTACAGCATCTAAAGCTCTGTGTTAGATGTTGCGTGGAATACAAAGAGGGACAAAATATGGTCCCTAGCCCTCAAAGAGCTTATGGTTCAGTCAGACAAGACAAGACCTGACCATCATTAGGGAGGTTTTCTAGTTTAGGGCCAGACTATGGCCCTGGCACTACAGTAAGTCTGGGGAAGCAGCAGTCTGAGCTGTGTGTGTGTGGGGGGGGTGTGCTCCTAGGATACAGCATTTAACGTTCTTTAAACAATGATCACACAGGAGCCAGCAGGTAGCATGGAGGTTAAGGTGCTGGGCTTCCACAAGGCCTGCCTCAGTTCGAGTCCCAGACCTGGCGGCTTGCTTTCTCACTCTCCTCATACCTCCCTCGCTCGCTCTCTGTGTCTCTGGTAGGCGCACATGCCTATAGCAAATTTAATAATAATAAACAATGATCACACGCTGGGGCCAGCAGGTGGCGTGGTGGTTAAAACACTGACTTCCGCATGACCGACTGTAGTTTGAGTCCCGGACCTGGCGGCTTGCTTTCTCACTTTCCCTTTCTCTCTGTTTGTCTTTGACAAAATTTAAAAATAATAATAATAAATAAAATAAAATAAATAATTCTTAAAAAAAAAAAGAATGATCACACATGTGCATGTATTTTGTAACTTGCCTTTCACTCCAGAGTCTGGTGCATATAAAATTTTAGTTATTTGAAGGACTCAGTTAATCAACATTTTACTTTTCATTAAAACTAAAAGAAACAATATTTTTCCTTTTTTTTTTTTTCTTTTTCAAATTTGTTATAGAGAATTTGTGCTTACCAGGGAGAGACAGCAAGTGAGAAATCATCCCCCTGGGAAGATGGGCACACTACAATTCCTTCTCTTCCATTTTCCTCTCGAGAGTATGTATGCACACATGCCTGGCATGTTTTTCAACCTACTGGGTCCAGATCTTGAATGGTGCTGTCAGCCATGTGGGATTCAGCTACCACACCACTGGCTGGCCCCTATTTCTGGGATTTTCATAGAATTTCAAGATAACTCTTCCTTTTTTTTTTTTTTTTTTGATTGCTTTTTTATAGGGCGCATGCGCTTGCCAGAAAGCAAGAAATCACCCCCCAGAGGGGATGGCCATGCCGCAATCCCTTCTCCTCCATTCTCCTCTCAGGATCTTGGGCACGCACGCACACACATCCAGCGTGAGTTTAAGCCGCCGGGTCCGTAACTTGAACCGCGGTCGACTACGTGGGAGTCCAGTGACATAGCCATTACGCTAACTGCTGGTCCCTAGAATTTCAAGATAACTCTTGATGCTAGTGCAGAGCTTAGAATGGAGATACAGCCTGCCCTGGCAAAGCTCTGGGACACCAGGCACTGTGACTTTTCACCATTCAGTTTAAGAAATGATCCAAGTGGCTTTTATTAGAGCCAGGTTTAATGTCCCCTGACTATGTTCAGGAAGACTTTCCCGACACCCTGGAAACTGCCCCCAACTACTGGACATTCACCTTTCACAGCTCACCCTCTACCCCAGGCCTACCTCCATGACCCCACACTCCAAACTTGTGCTGGGCTCAAGATAAAGCTCACGGGCTGGCTATTTCTAAATCCTGAAAAGTAATACGCCCCACGAAACTTCTGATGAGGAGCTCTCAATGAAACTTAGGAAGGTTTAGAGAAATACTAATGTAATAATTCCCTCCAATCTACTTGGCAGAATTAAAAGACTGCACTCGTATTAAATGCGTCAAGGAGGAACCGTGCATGTTAATACACAAACCTGCACTGATTAGCTGCTCTGTGAATGCTGCATTCACGCAGCCGATTGGGAACTGAAATCACAGGGACCTTGAACATGTGCTGTTTTGTGATGTGGGTCTGCGAGCTCTTGGGCTCAGCCAGCCAGGGACCCATTCTTTGTCTGAGTGTAGGCAGGGATGCCAGGCAGCTGTGGAGAGGCACGTGGAATCTGCCATGGCCACGAGGGCCCTGAATACCTTCCCATCTCCTGCTGCTGGGGAGCCGGCGTGGGGCGGTTGCCAAATATCCACAAGAAAGTGAACACCTGTCACCAGGTAAAAAGCAATCATCGATGAGGCAGACGTAGGCGTGGGGGAGAGCAGGCAAATGTGATGAAATGAAATTTTAAATCGAGAAGCTGGTTTGGCAGCCGACAGATCAGAATGGAGAGAGAAGTCGAAAGCGGTGTGCTCAAAGCTCGTGGTGACTTGGAGAGAGAGAGAATGCGAAGTCGGGTGAGTCAGCTGGGAACAGTCTGGCAGGGAGGGGGCAGCAGGCCACGTGCTACCCAGCGCTGCTCAGGAGAGGCAAGTTTTTGAGCACATCTAAGTACCTGGGGGAGCGAGGGGTTGCTTCCAGATTCCAGTGTGGCTCGCAGGAAACACGTCTCACTGTGTGTCACTGTTGCTGACATTTCCATGCCACCCCCCAAACCCCACCCCATGCTGGTCTGGGAGCCAGTACTGTCCTGGCTGAGTTTCTGAGCTTTATCTGCAAAACAGCCTCCGGTCGTGGGCTGAGTCACCGTCACTGGAAACCAATCTTGTGGCTGGCCTGCAAGCTGCCTGGCTGTGTGGTCAGCAGGGCCGCATCCCCACCAGGTATACATCCACAACAGGTACACCACCGATGCTGGTTTGATGGCTGTGCAGGTCCTGGGCTGAGATGCAAACCACCCCAGACTTCTCTGACCACAGCAGGAAGGGACGAGGTTTGAACCAGCTCATGTGTTGGTTCCCACTAGTTCTCTCAGGCCTCACTAATTGCAAATCTTCAATAAATGTCAATTGAATGAATGATCTAATTACTCAGCTGTTACACAGGAAAGAACAATTTCTTGGATCATCTGGCTTACCTAATGTTGTACTGACCTTCTATTCACTGGTTTATTAGAGCAAATATAGATTCTCGAATTAAGCAAAGCAGGTGAAATCCTTGATGCCCTGGAATGCTCTGCTCCTCGACACGTGTCTGGGGCAGGCAGCCTCAGAATTCCCTAGGGGCTGGCAAGAAATACTCTCTACTCACCCTGAGCTGGAATTTGCCCACAGTCAGATGTCCAGGTGATCTGTGCCCAAATTTAAGTTCTAGTTCAAAACTCTCCATCTGAACCTGCGAGAGTTTGATCTAAAAAGAAAAGAAAAAACCTCCAGGGAAAAAGAGTTCCCTTAACTCCCATTGTTAGGAAATCCGACCTGTGTTTATTTAATTCCAGTAAGAATTCTAGAAGGATCCGCGACAGAATTTGTTCTAAAATTCACAGAGAATTCTGAGCCACTATTTGCATTGAGCTCATGAAGGAGAGACACCCCCGCCTGTAGTCTTGAAGAGAATGCTTCTCTGCCTTCTGAAGGATCCTGTGGATCACTCTCCGAAGGCAATACTGTAACCTGGTCCATGTGCTTGCCCAAGGGGTGCCATGCACAGAGCCATCCGCACACAGGCCGCTCCTTGAGTTCACAGAGCCCTGAGTAATCATCCCACCACCACCAAAGAGCCTCAGGGGCTGGAAACTCCAACGGCTTCTAGATCAGGCAGGTAAGCAGGGGCTGGGGTCAAGACAGCAGGGAACATTTGGAATCATGCCTGCCTACCCAAAAGGCCATCAAAGTCAAACTTTTTTTTGTTTGTTTTGAGAGAGAATTTTGCTATAGGGTGCATGTATTTGCCAGAGAGCAGAGAGACAGAAAGCAAGAAATCACCCACTAGGGGGGATGGCCACACTGCAATCCCTTCTCCTCTCTGGATGTGGGGCACGCATACACACGTGCCTGGTGTGACTTTAAGGCACCAGGTCCAGGACTTGAATCGCAGTTGACTACACGGGAGTCCAGAATGTAACCATGATGCCATCTGCTGCTGCTCCTGAAGTCAAACTTTTTTTTTTTTTTTTTTGAGAGGTTTTTGCTACAGGGTGCATGCACTCGCCAGAAAGACAGAGAGAGACAGAGAGACAGAAAGCGAGAAATCACCCCCTGGGGGGATGGCCACACCGTAATCCCTTCTCCTCCATTCTCCTCTCGGGATCTTGGGCATGCATGCACACTCGCCCAGTGTGAGTTTAAGCCACCGGGTCCAGGAGTTGAACCGCGGTTGACTACATGGGAGTTCAGCAACATAACCATTATGCTAACCGCTGGTCTCCTGAAGTCAAACATTTTTGAAATGTGCACTGGCCTAACAGACTTCTGCCAGTCGGCTTAGAGGTGCTGTTGGAAATCCTAGTCCATATGCTTTTCAGGGATCAAATCGGAGTACCTGGTTTCCAGTACAAACCCAGTGCGCATGCTGGCACCTGGTTTATCTGCTGACAGAACACCCAAGGAGGGCGTGAGGAGCCTGGCTCTTCCCCTGAGTGGATCTTCTCTAGGAATAAAGCCCTGGTGAGTAACTGACCCATTGGCAAACTTAGGTCTGGGAGGTGTTTAACCAGCAAGGAAGTTCTGGAAATCCAACCACTAATGCCCACAGTGCTGGGGAAGGAGGTGAGGCACGACGTGTTGGCATGCGGGGAGCTCACACGGCATTTCTCCCACTCTGGTCTCACTCATTAGTGTGAGTGAAGGGGCTGCCTCATCCCAACCCCGCCTCCCGGATCTGTCACCCTACGAAAACCGAGACCACACTGACAGTAAAACCAAGTCTCAGGGGGAGGTGCCTGGTTCTCCAGAGCTCACAGCCTCGGGTTGGGAGGCTGCGCCTGAGTGTAGGTGCTAAGGACGGATCCGTGGCTAGCTGGGAGGCTTTGGCTGCGCCCCGGTACCCTGATCCTGCTGCCTCTTTATGACAGGCAGGGACTCCTGTTAGATCCCGTATCAGTTACATTTGCTTCTCATTTCAGTCAAAGTGTCAACAATCTGGAATACTCCCCCATCCTCCTAGTGGTATTTTTAGAACAAACAAACAACCTGACGTGCTTAGCTGGAATAAATCACCTCAAGAAACCTCAGTTGGGTTCATTTTTCGCTCCTGCTTTCGCTAAAGCGACTGATGCCAACTTCGATCAGTGTCCTAGAGCCAGCACCGAAGCTGGAAATGACCTGGCCAGGCTGACTGAAAACCCCTCTGGAATCTCACTGCCAGCCCGTGTTTCAAAGACCTCCTACGACCCCTGAGTGTGACGTTCTAATGTGGGGAGCATCTCATGTAGTGCCACCCACAAGGCCACAGAGCCCGCACAGGCAGGGCCACTCCCCGAGGGCATCACCTGGGAGCACCAGGGACTGAGGGGTGCAAAGGAAGCAGGAGGCAGAGATCCTGCCTCGGGTTGGGTGACCAGTTGGTGAGCAGGTGCCCTTGATCCGGTACATGCCAAGTGGCCATCTGGTGAGTAACCACCTGAGCAGGAAGTCCCTGAAAGCAAGTCTTCCTATCAAACAACTCTGGCTCCCAGCAGAAATAATCTCTTCTCTCTGGACCCTAAGCCAGGTGGTGATTCCTAAAACAGGGGAGCGGGGGAACCAGAGGTAGAGTTCAGGCCTGGTCTTTCCTG